CCTGAAAACTATGGGTTATTCCCACTAAATTGGATGACATTAAAGAAATAGATATCAAGCACATATTACATGCTAAGAACTGGACTACCACCATGGGAGTGTAAATTATGGAGAATATACAAAAGTAAGCAGATGAATAACAGTATAAAATAGGTTACTCACAAATGAATGAATGAGTGGAAGAGACAAAGGGTGCAATGCCATTTTAGATGACAGAGTGACTTCAGAAAAGCAAGGAATAGGGAAAGGTTTTGCCAGAACATTATCTGTTCACTGAATCTATGAATCTAACAGGAAGAAGGGGTGTGCATATTGTGAGTAAAGATGGGTAATGACTAAATATTGAATATGGGAAGGCCTGAGAAAGGTCTAAGAAGACAGACCAGCTGAAAAAGAATAAAGTGATGTAAATTATAGTTGAGTGATGAGGTAGAAAGAGAAAAATCTGGATTTTTATCATAAAAGCAGTGAAAACTATTTTCTTGACTAGGTAATGACATGAGTATTATCAGCATGTTTTAGAAGTGTTTACTTGGAGTTACATGTGATATGGATAAGAAGCAGGGAAATCAAAAGAGAAACAAGGGAGGGACTAATGTACCATCAAAATGTAAGGTTATGAGAAACCACACATGGGCAATGACAGATGAAATTGGAAAGGGGCTGATATGACAGATAAAGAAATAAGACTTAGACATGTCCAGATGTGCTAAGAGTGCAATACCACAAAGATAACAGATAAAGTCAAAATTTAAGTTGAGGAATGAAAAAACATTTAGAATCAATGCTTCCCTTAACAAATGTTTTCTTTTTTCCCCCCCTCTTTCCCAATTAATTTATACTAACCAAACTGTACTTGAGGAAAATGAAACGTCTGATTTTGTATTCACCATCTCTTGTACAATGAAGACATCATAAGCCTTCATTAGACATGTGTGCAAGTGAATTAAGAAATTTATGTCTAGAAATAAACATGATATCAATTTTCCGAGTCAGACATATTTATCTGACAAGTTATATAAAATTTTAAAATATTTGTGTATCTAAAAATTAATTCTATCAAATATATCAGTGGATGAATGGATAAAAAATGTGACATATATACACAATGGGATTTTTACTCAGCAATAAGAGAATAAAATGATGGTATTTGCAGGTAAATGGATGGCGTTGGAAAAGATAATGCTAAGTGAAGTTAGCCAATCCCCAAAAAACAAATGCCGAATGTTTTCTCTCATATAAGGAGGTTGACTCATAGTGGGGTAGGGAGGGAGAGATTGGGAGGATTAGATGAATTCTACATAGGGAAGAGGGGTGGGAGGGAAAGGAAGGGGGCAAGGATGGTGGAATGTGATGGACAGCATTATACAAAGTACATGGATGAAGACTTGAATTGGGTGTCAATATACTTTAGATACAAACAGATATGAAAAATTGTGGTATATATGTGTATTAAGAATTGTAATGCAAAAAAATAGTACATGTATAAAGGCATGAAAAAAATGAAGTGAAATAACAAATAACTACTTCAGTAATTAAAGAACACTTTCTAGACTAAATGCTTTCAAAATCTACACAAATGCGAAAGACCTCAAAAAAAAGTATATACTCTCAAGTCTTACTTTAATATACTGTGACCTAAAGATAAATACTTCTGCAAGTTCAAAATTATATTAATCTGGAACACTTTAATAGTAAGCAGTTATCAGATTTAAACATGAAATTCTATGATGTCCAACTGTTAGTGGTATAAGCCATTCCTCTTTTAGTAGTCCAAAACCAAAGAAACAAATAAAAAAAAAAATCAAGAAATTTCTACTTCACTCCTCTTCTAACTACTTACCAGTGTTTGAGTTTCAGAAAATTATAATTTAGCAACAAAAAATTTCACAAATTTTTTTGGCTGAAGATGTTGGAAAATACCTGTTAGTACATATCGCTGGCTTATCAGAGCCCTTTTTTCTGGATGATAGGCAACAAATCTATCATTGGCATTCACTAATAGTGGTATGGGGAACCCTTTCTCTATATACATGATTTCTTTATGAATTTGCAGTTGTTCAAATTGACCTTCAGCTGAAGGATTTGCAGATGACTTCAGTTTAGATAGCGCCTGTTAAATATTATTTGGAAGTGTTCTATGCATCATTGATTTTGAACTTTTCTGATACTAGACATCTGACATACCTAAAGGCAAATTAGAAAACTGAGTTTTATAGACAATTAGAATAATTCCATCAGCAACATAAAAGGCAGAAAACTAGAGTTGAAGCTTCTTAAAAAGTAAAATGTTTGCAGCATTTCTGTTTCCTTGATTTAGATTAAAAAAAAATTACAAGGGATTCTGGCAATGCACCACCATTTCACAGGGCAACTAGAAAAGGTGTCAAATCTCCATCTGTGGAGTTAAATATTTACCAGTCATTCCTTGTAATTTCTAAAAAGGATCATTGTAGAAACTATTTCTTAAGATACAAAAGTTTTAAAATGATAACCATACACTACAAAGCATTTCCTAAACTTCCTCATACGTCTGCAAATTCAATGTCTTTAAAGATTCATTAAAAAGTCCATAGGTTAAAGTTGGGGATCTGGAACAGTGGTAGAGTGCTTGCCTAGCATGTGGAAGGTCCTGCATTCAAACCCCAGCACTGGGAACCAAAAAAATTTTTTTTAAAAATCAGTCTTAAAATATGCCATTTCTTTTCTAATAAAGGGATGACTTAAGAATTTGTATTCAAATACAGAAGTTTGAAAAAAAAGGTAAAAGCATGATATTTCATGCTTTTTAAAAAATGGAATAGAGGGAGGTACACGCCTGTAATCCCAGCAGTTTGGCAGGAGAATCATGAGTTAAAAGCCAGCCTCAGCAACTTAGCGAGGTTCTAGGCAACTTAGTGAGACCGTCTCAAAATAAAAAACAAAAAGGGCTAGGGATGTGGTTAAACACCAGTACCAAAACCACCAACAACAACAAAACAGAAATAGAAAGACTGGTGGCACTATACAATATTTAAACAGCTGTGAAAGCAGAAGAGTACAGAGGTACCTTCTATAGAAAAGTTTTTGCATATTAAATTTTGGAACAATCACTATGAATAAATCTAAAGGGGAAATCCAAAATACTATATAAATATTTGGCAACTGTAAACCTTCTTCTAAAAAATTTCAAAAGAGTGACATTCTTTTGGCATTTGCAGGCATAACTGCAACGACATGTAAAATCTTTGGTCAACTGTTACAACTTAGGAAGGATAACTAAAAGCTAACTCAACTTCTTAAATAAATAGGCTGAAGTGATGCACACCCTTGCTTCTTTTTGTTAAAAAAAAGTGATGTAAAGAAAGTCACTAGATAGGCCAAAGCCAAAAATTATTCTGTTCTATAAATCTTATTCTCTCCAATTTATCCTCATGGGCTTTAACTATTACATTGTCCTACTTGTTTTTCTCCATGTCATTTTTATTTACCTATGTTCTCCCTAACTGCAACCAAGTTTATTTTTATTCACTAAAATGTAAGCTTCAGGAGACATGCCTGTCATGTTTACCATTGTAATATGCAAGGCCTGGAACAATATTTAACATTATTAATACTAGTATACCTAGTATTGATAAACTTTTGTTAAATGAATGGATGTGGTTTTAGTTAGCTTTTGGATCGCTATGACCAAAAGACCTGACGAGAACAATGTAGAGGAGAAGAGTTTATTTGGGACTCACATTTTCAGAGATCTCAGTCCACAGTTGGCTAACTCATAGCTCTGGACCTGAGGTGAGGTACAACATTATGATAAAGGGCATAAAGGAGGAAAGAAGCTCAGGACATGGCAGCAGGAAGCAAGAGACAGCTCCATTCACCAGGGACAAAATATAATCCCCCAAGGCATGCCCCCAGTAACGTAACTCTTCCAGTTACATCCTACCTGCCTATTACTGCCCAACTGATCCTTATCAGTGGAAAAACCCACTATTGGGTTAAGACTCTCATTTCCCAATCATTTCACCTCAGAACATTCTTTCACTATCTTACACATGAGCTCTTGGGGGACACCTCACATGTAAACTATAACAGATGGTAGTCAAAAGTCGATCAGAATATTAGGTTCAGTAAAATATAAGTGTTCAGTATAGCCTGTGGTTCTCACCTACTGGGAGAACAGGTATGGAGCTTACACTCTTTTGATATACCACCTAATGTACCTTCTATCCTGCTCTCTGTGTGATCAGAGATTGCATTGGTTCACATGATTCCAATGAACTACAAACTCCATAATCACCTAACTCCATTCACCTTTACAGCCAAACTCTGTTTGCTACATACCCCTCCACACAAGCATACATCAGATCTTAGCAATACTGGATTAAAGTTTTCAGAATAATCTCTGCTACTTCAAGCGTAAGACTTGCCCATGCCTTTCTGTCTACCAATTCCCATTCTAAATGAGTTTGTAAAATCAAACTCATTCTTGAAGTCCCAGCTAAAACACCTTCCTCCTGTAAGATGTCCTTTCAGAATTTTGCCAAGTTATGTAAGAAATAGGAGGAAATGAACTTAAGAAATACAGAGGATTCCAATCATAGTTGAAGGATAGCAATGAGATAGCTATATGGCAAATTATGAAACAGGTGGGAGGTTTCCATGGAAGGGAATATGATTAGTTCCACTGAAACGAGGTTCCATGGGAGGGAAACAAGGAGAACAAGTTGAAATGGAGAACAAGAAAGCAGACACGAAGGTTCTAGAAATGGATGATGCTAAGATCAGCCAGAAGGTAGTTAATTACATACTACCAGAGAATCATACAAAGGGAAGAATCAGAAGGTAGGATTGGGTTCCAGTGATTAATCCAATAGAAGAATTAAAACATTTTAATTATCATTTTTGTTATGGCATACACTTTTAATTGTGCTCGCCATTCAAGATAGTGAAGAATGCTTTGGTTATCTCAAAATAACTCATAATCACAATAGCATTTTGTAAACAGAAATGAAGACTACTTTGGGAAGATTATTTATTTATATTTATTAGTGACATGATAGTAATGTAAAGAAATTTCCAAATTGCATTAATTTTGGCTTACCAAAGGGGAACAAACAAAATGTTTAAGTTGTAAATGTTAATATACATTATTGGGATATTAATAATATTAAATATATATAAACAGCACATAGAAAAAAGTGCAGACAGCACTACTAAGCATCATTAGAAATGTTTGCTATCATTACTAACATTCACTTTGTACAGTTCTACATTTCTGAAGCATCTGAAACCCAAATGCAAAGATATGAAGTCAAACTTGTACTATGTTATCAGAGAAGGAAACACAACATTTTAAATATATGAAAAAAAAATTAGAGGTCAATTTTCGTAACACGAAAATATCAGGTTGAATATATTTTTAGACAGTTTTTTCCTAAAGGATTTAAAAAATAAATATGGAGAATATAATAATAGAAAATGAATATTCTATCATATCTGTTCCCTTTAAATTTTTGTACATCTGTTCTACTTTTAGTAAAGTGTAACAAAATAAGAATATTAATGTTAATATTTGTACTATTTCATGAAACAATGAAAAACCGTTAAATTCATATTTTCAAATGACAGTGAATATTCAATATATATGATATGAAATATAAAGTTGTGAATCACATCAAAATAGAGAATCTTAAATCAAACAAGGGATACTATTAAAATGTCTATTTAAAAAGAAATATTTATAATTCTATTAATTTGTACTTTTCTATGATACAAAATAACTATCTTAAAATAAGTCTTAACAAAAAAGAAAGAGGATCCTCTTTCTAATGTGATATCTGGATCTCAAGCTGAGATTCCACAGAAGGAATCCATGGAATGAGATAAGATGAAAACTAAATTAAAATATATAGTAATGTATTAGAATATACACCATGTATATTTAAAATATAAAAATTTTCTAAATATACAGTCTTCTTATATTTTCAAGCATTCAAAAAAATGTTTTCAGGAAACAAACAAGTATCAATGTACAAGGGTTATAATAAAGCATTTCGTTGCCAAATTCCACTGAAAATTTTTGGTAACTACATGGTCAAATTTTAGTTGAGGACACACACTATATTTTTAAAAATAATTTTAGATTTGTTTTCTATCATGGAATTGCTCATTTCTCTTAAATATATGTAGTTTCCTTCTTTGAATCAACTACAATTTTCAATGGTTCTTCTGCCATAAAAGGCTGTAAATCAGACTAAATATTCTGACTCTAGAATTCTAAGGGAAAAGAAAACAAGGTTGAAAAATCAGTACAGTATGATCATTATTATCAACACATCAATCATGGAATCCTGGTTCTTTATACTTCATAGAAGTAAGTACCCACAATATTCCTTCTTTCCTACAGAATGAACTGACTCAAGATTTCCAAACAGATATAAATTATGTTTTTTTGGTCCATTCTATTAGGAATGTAAACATCATGCTTACTTGCACAGAATGACAAATCAAATTAAGGGTTAATCTCCACATTTCTTCCAGATTATTTTAACTTGATAAATATGTATAAGTTAAGTTTAATTAAAAAGACTCCTTTGGCAGAATAAACAAATGCCAGCAACATCATAACAGGCCCCATTCATAGACCATCTTAAAAATAGGAGCTAGCAAGAATATAAATGAGGTATTAAAAAAAAGACATAAAAGTCTCTATTCTCCTTCCCACCATACAAAAATAGTACTGAGGCAATTATAAAATTATTAAACAAGACCCTGTAACTTATTACAACTTTTTATATAATACTCACGTTGGCTTTTAAGTACTGTATGTTAAGCTGAGTCATTCATTTGCTGACCTTTCAACAGCTGATATAATTTGAATGCTAATTTTCAGTGGACAAATGTAATACCTGTTGTGTCATCACTTACTTCCAAACAAAAAAGAATTTTAAAAATCTCTCACCTGCAGGAAACATCGATTAATTAAGATGTTTACTTAGTAGGATACCCTGGCTAAGTAGAATGCTATGCTTAAAGAAGGTTACTTAAATTCACTTTAAATTACTGTATCTTACTGTATCGCACAACTGAGTCTGACATCATTTTGGCCCTATTAGTATGAACTGTACTTACTGAAACAATTCTATAAATGTAAGCGATAAAGGCTGAATCTTCTGAATAATGGCCTCAGGATATTTCTTGGAATTAATTATCAGTTGCTTAATTCCTCCAAAGGTGAGAATGAAGGGCTAGTTAGCTGGACTCCAAAAAAAACTGATGTTTTGTTTCACCAGAAGGAAAATAGTAGTAGTTCCAATCAACATTAAATTTTCAGGACTCTGTCTGCATTTACCCCTCATATACATAGACACAATTATTTTTAAAAATCAGATCAATCTGGACCCAAACCTCCTAAACAGTATGGGTCTTTCTACTAATGAACAGTTTAATGCTCTGGGAGAGAGGAGAGATAAAGAGTTTAGATGGGTTTTTAAGTTTGCAATTAAGTTTTGAGATTTAGTACTGTGATTGTCAACCTAAAATTCACTCAAAAAATTCTTAAAAGACCATATTAAAGACAGGGGTCAGCTCACATATAAATGAGGTATAAAAGAAACATAAAAGGCTGTAACATAAAGTATTAAAATCAATATGAAGGCAAGTTATATATAAAATATGAACCGAAATATTTAATATCCAAAATTCTGCTCTTCGACTCATGATACAAATGTAATTTAAGTCATCAGCTATTGTCTTTAATATTTCTATTATTACTAATATTAATAGTAACTATAACTTCCTTAACATATACTATGTGCCAAAGATGGGACTGAGTCCATTAGGTATTCATAATTTCATTTAAACCCTACAACACATTTTAAGTGTTGTCCATATTAAATTTTCAAAGAAATTGAAGTTCAAAATGAAATTAAAAGTAAAAAGAAGAACCAGAGAATGGATTCACAAAGGTCTAATTTCAAAATCTGTAAATTTTCTACAAAACCACTTTGCTTTCTATAAAACTGAATTCAGTCAATCCTTGTTCCTATTTGCAGAGTCTACATTTGCAAATTTCCAAATGGCTAAGATTCATTTCTAACTCCAAATCAATAATCACAGAGTTATACAGTTATTCATGGACATGTGCACAATAGTAAAAAATCTGAGTTTCCAAACACACATGCATATTCCCAGCTAAGGTCAACAAGGTGGCTTTATATACCTTCTTGTTTTGGCTATCATATTGTAAAAAACGATCTTCTTGCTGTCTATTTAATGCCAGGTTTATTGTATTTTTTGTGCTTTTTGTTGGTGATTTCACTGTTTTAAATGGTCCCTAAGTACAGTGTTGAGAAGTGCAGCCTGTCATTACTAAGCACAAGAAGGCTGTGGTGAGCCTTCTGGATACAACATGTGTTAGATAAGCTTTGTTTAGGCCTCAGTTTCAGTGGTATTGGCCATGAATTCAATGTTAATGACCCAATGATATACAGCAAATGTCTCTAATCACAAACACACATAAGCAAGGTTATACATTAGCTGATAAAAAAAAAAGGTTTGACCAAAGGCTCCCAGTAACCTATTCCTAGCTTTCCCTTAGGGGCAATGGTTTGGCATTTCCTAATTCAATATTAATGATATCACAGAACATTGAAAAAACAACTGTAATTCAATTAAAAATGTTTTTCCCCAAAAATGTTCACTTTGCCTTCTTAGGAAGAGATTTTCTTGCTGTCATTTCCTTCAAAAATACTATATCACTATGAATATGCAGTCATTACTTATCTGCTTAAGAAAAAGAAACCCTCTATTGCCATTCTGTCTAATGGGTTGCAGCTATTCATGTGTGACTTCGCTTAGAAAATTAATTTCTTCTTAAAAGCAATTTGGCTTTCCAGTGTGACAGTCTAATGTAATTAAATTTCATTTCTTATTACTAGAAGTCATGGTTACTGTTTAAAGATGATTGCTTTGTGAAAAGATCATGACTTTTAAACTAGTTAGTTATATGTAATTTGAGCAAAACAACAAAAACTTTGCAAAGGAAATAAGAAAAGTATAATCACAAATTGGAACTCTTACCTTTCTTGCCCAAATGAAAGATTTTATTGAAAAAAAAAATTACAGTACTTAAAAATTCAAACAAGGACAATTCAGGGTTGAGAGAAAGAAAACCTGAAGGAGTCCATGTCTTCAGTAAAATTTTGAATACAAAAAAATGTAGACCAGAAAAGCAGTTCATGGCCTAATGCACTAGTTCCATGATAAACACACATATATAGTACTATCTCCATCAAGTGAAACTTAATCACCTTTTTACAATTTAGAGAGGGAAGGCAGCTTTTAGTATGGTTAAGCCATGTATCATCAATACCATGAAGCTAGCCTATCAGTTGTAATAGCTTCTATAAAATACCACAGTGAGATTGCAATAAGCCTAGAAAATGGGCTACAAATCCCAGCTATGCTCAAGCAAGCAGTGAACCAAAAATAAAAATAGGTAAAATTGAACCAAGAACTAGATAGCATTCATCTAGATTCATGATTGGTAAGGCAAAGTTCATAGGCCAAGGTTTTAAAATGACTTATTCAGATCTAAAAGACAGTCATTATACAAAATAAAATAAAATCATTTATGCAATTCAGAAAAAAAACACACACACGAATTTTCACTCCAAAGACATAGCACAAAAAAGCTTAGTTACAATTACTAAACACCAAATATTATACCTTTAGATATCACTTTAAATATGCAAAAGTAAAGAGACTCAAAGTTGTACTTTATCATTTTTAAATCTCTCCAGTTTAGACAAGTAATCTAAAAGGAGACATCACAATTTCTGCTTAATTTATTTGTTAAAGTCTTTCTGATTGTAATAATTTTAAGTAATAGCAATGTCAACTTTAAGTTTCTTTTCCAATCATATTTAAGTAAGCCATTAAATGCTGAATTAACAATGAATCCATACAATATAAAAATACACATATTAAATCACATTGACTTTATCAGTTATTAGAATTTAATAAAAATATTAATCATTTTAATAAAACCATTTAAAGGAACTCAAATGGCCTGAACTTAGTAGAGTGTCTAAATTAACCATCAATAGCAGTGTTACATTTCCCCCCTGCTTGGTGAAAATGAGCTCATGCAAGTATTTCTGAAACTCACAGTGACACATATGGTCTGCCATTCTAAGGATGAACAAGCAGCTCTCACTTTTAGAAATGACAATGATTCAGAGTCACACAGTATTTGTTAAAATACTAGGTTTCACATGATTTCATTAAGCTCTAAGTCAAAATAATTTTTATGTATTTCAGGTATCAGACAAAACAGATCACTTAAAAGGTAATTGCAAATGAAAGGTAATATTAAGTGATTCTAGTAGTGCAGACTAGTTATCACTGTGCTTAATTTAAGAAGTAGGATGATTTTTGCAGTACAATGAAAACTATACTATAGAATACAATGAGTTTGCAATACAGAGCAGATTATCCAAGTAGAAAGGAAACTGAACAAAATACAAACTCTAGCAAAGGTTATCAACCTCACCTATTACTTATCTTAGCCCTTGTTATAATACCCTGAGTAAAATGCAAATATTTTAAATAATGCTGGTTATAGAAGACTTCTCTAAAATTAACCATAAGTGTCAAAGCATCACGTTATTTTATTTACAACAACCAGATATGTAAAAATTAATTCTTAACTCGTAACAATATAAACATTAAGGACTACTTAGGTTAAATTGGAAGTTTTTAATTTTCTAGCTTTTGTTAGCATTTTGGCAAAGCAAGTAATACATAAATGGATTCAATGTACGAAAAATCATAAAAGAGAAAAATATGTAAAATTTACAGTAGTTTCTATCCACCCTGGGCCAACCTAGATCTCTAGAAAGCCTCCCCAATCAGGTTCATTTCTGACTAAAAGGAAGAATACCAGTCCTCCAGCAAAAACAGCCCCATCTTTGCATCAAAGAGGCTCTCACTTCAATGATATTCCTCCAGGGAAGAGGACAGGAGCCAGGTTCCCTCGAATGTCATTCCCCAGATGTTCAAAACGTAACTAATTTATTAGCATTAGAAGATTTGGTTTATAGGGGAATCTCACTGGTCCAGTTTGTAGCCTACAAAAAAATGGATTATTTTTAAGTATAACATTAGAATATAAATAAAGGATGAGGATGTGGCTTTTTATTCCATAGAAATGGAAACATTTCCAAACATGACAATTCAATAAAAAAAGGCATGCCTACCATTGAAGTTGGAGTCCCTCCAGATTTTTTAATATTCTTTGAAGGCATTCCATGAAGGCGACTGAGTCTGGCTTGGAAACCTAGAAAATCAAAGTAATCAGTTTAGAAGATACTATGATCAGTGGTGCATAGGAGATCCTATCAATAGAGAGGTAAGAGTAAGTTGCTGGTGGAGGTGAACACCATGAATATTACTGGGGGGAAAAATGCAAAACTTACACCTTAAAAGAACAAAGGCCATGGCTAGCAGGATTCTAACGCAGCCAGCACTCAACTGTCTAGTGTTTTGACTTTAAGGAGTAACATTCAGAACACTTTTCTTTCAATTCACATTCCCAACAATATTCTCACAATGAGCCTAGCATAAAAGCTAGTAAAGTTTTCTAATAATTTTAAAAAATGAGTAGGTTAGTACACTTTCAGCATGTATATTTACAGCACATGTTTACATTCTCTAATATTTTACCCTAACCTCTTTCAATGAATATCATAAGACTAACCACAAGCTCACTGTATCCACCAATAAGGAAGTGCTACTGACCTCTTCTGCCTTGATGCGACATAAGAGGAAAAGAACCAGTTAAGATACTTTCAAAGACAGGATCTGGTAAATTTTTGTCTAGTTCAGTAGGATCTTCCTTTTCCCACCAGGGTACAACTCCAGTGATACCACATGCTCCGCCTGATTCCTTTTCATAGAACCAGTCACTCTGCTCATCATCACCTGTTAAAATACAAATGATTTTCCCCAAAAATTCAATTTTAGCATCCAAAAAATGTAATTTGAGTTGTGTGATAATAAAAATACATCAGGTAAATATGTAGTACTTGTCCTAAATTTTTAGTATAAGAATGTGCAAGTACTGCATGGGACACAGTTGCACTAAAAAGTTGTTTTTTATCTACAATTCAAATTTAACAATGGATCCTGAATTCAATCTGGCAATCATACATATCATCTAAAAACAAACCTTTTTACTCTACACCAAGCTTCACTTAAGAAACACTCTCAATACTAGGACAACCATTGCCATCAACGAATACACAAAATACTATTTCACAACCAATTTTTAAAATGAGAAAAACAATATTAAACTGGCTAATCCTTTGGCAAAAAAGTAGGAAAATGTATTTAAGTAACTACTCATTCCACATTAAGAGAAAGACAACCCTTAATTGCCTACCAGGAATTAAAAGGTATAAAACTATAGAACCTGTTCTTTGAAGCTGATAATGGTATATAATTAGCTTAATTTCATGATTTGTATGTAGTGGAAAAGGGGAAACAATCAGGAACAGATGTGACTAAATGAAATTAATCCAATTAAGTTCATTAAGAAATAGTTTTGAAAAAGTTGATTTTAAATGAAAACTGACAATACCATAGTTTCTGAAGAAACTAGACCTAACATCTACACGTAAAATATTTTTTAAAAAGAACATTACTCAGTAATGTTGACTTCTTTGAATATTCATGAGTGTAATTATAGAATAGTGAATATCAATTTAAAATTCAGTTTGAAATGGGGAGTTGGTAAGAACCAATATTTGGGTTTTGTTTTTTTTTTTTTTACTATTAAGAGCCATATGAAGAGATAAACATACAGAATGCATTTTAAAGAAACAAACAGCATTTTGAATATGACCTGAGATTCATTAATCTTCTGTTCATGAAGTCACTGCTATTTCTGTTATCTAAAAGGGTCTAAGAGACCCGTAAACTTTTTCCCTTTACAGAAAAAATTTTCTGATTTTGAAAACCAAAAATTAACAAACGAACAATACCATATTAAGTTTTAATTTAAAATGATTTTATGAGAAATCAGCTGTGTTTCAAATGGAGTAGGTGAAAAATTAAAAGCAATTAAAACTAAAGTCACTAGTTTGTTTCAATTGAGGAATTAATAAAATAGATTTTTCAAAGCAGAATAATTCATAGCACTTACATATCAATACTTAGTTACTGAGTACTGAGTTAATAAGAGTTACATTACAATGTCATGTCAGTTTTCTTAAACACAATAAAAAGCAGGGAGTCACTTGAAATTGACTACTGTAGATCTTCATTCCCATCAAGAAAGCATTACTCTAAAAAAATGAAGTCACTTTCTTTTTTATGTGATACACAACTTTATTCTTAAAAGGAAAATAGCTGTTGATTAACAACAAGGGCAAAGAGTCAGAAAAACCAATTAGAATTTTAGTATTTTGTTATACTTCAACTGTTTTAGTGTAGGTTTCCTCGTTAAAAAAAAAAAAAAAAAAAAAACCCACAGGAACTAATAGGGTTTTCAAAGAATGACTTGAGAATTTAAAGTAAATTAAATGTTAGAAAGCACTCAACAATGTGAAATATAGTAGTTCACAATACATGTTAGCATATCACTATAAGTCACTTGTTTTCCAATGATAATCTTGTCAAAAGTTATTTTTTTAAAAAAGTTTTATTACTAATATCAATATTTATAATAGAGTTCTGAGTAAAAAAAAAAATCTATAATAAGATTTAGGTATATATTCAAGATAGTTAAGCTCATTTTGTTCCAAGGTTCAAACATATTTCAGGCAAAGTCTCATTTTTAAAAGTCTATGATCTTTAAAATATTTATGTATCTACTTTTTTCGGACATCTGATTTATAAAAAGAGTAAGTGTTCCACATACATTATATATATTGCTAAGAAGATGAACAGATTAAGAAAAAAGTGTGGGCAGCTATTACTTTATCCTTTTTTTCATAACATCATTAGATGATTGATCAAGATTCTAAAGAGAGGAAACTGTGATAAGTATTCATAGGTATTAAGCTTTATTTCATGATTTGTATGGAGTTTATAAAGGGAAACAGTTAAGAGCAGACTGGACTAAAATGAAATTAATCCCATTAAAGATTAATCCTATCCCCTTGTTAGGGTATTCATATTTTTCACAGCTTCAAAATACTGCCATGTTAAAGTGTGAAAAGCTTCAGGAAGTTCCAAAGATAGAAAACATCTAAGATGTAATACATTTCTGTTTAACAGTTTATAATATTGAATTCATGGAAGTCATCTAATTACTTACAAACTGAATAGGATGAATAAATGTCACAGCTGAATAAAAATGACAAATGACTTGCAAATCCACCCTTATGAATGCTTAAACAGTTTTAAATACATTTGGAATCAGGTGATGAATGAGAACCAGTGTCTTGCAAACTTGCTCAAAGAGACAAAATTGAACAGACTGAGGTATGTAAAGCTTTCTCAAGGAAGATAATCCTCCCTTAATATTATTAGTGCCACATACCAGTTTTGAGGCATAATCAATTACTTTAGGTCAGGAAGATAGGACAACACTAAACCCCAGTCCACTAAGCAGAATGTGTGATGTATATGGATTGCAGTTTTCATCTTATGAAATAACCAGTAATAAGCACAGCTTTAAAATGAAGATGCTTTTCCAAAGAGAAGAAAATCACATTTCAGTACCTTGTCTTCCCTCATCATTGGTAAACAAACCAGCATCAGTGCTGCTGAGACTGCTGGAATCACTGTAACAAGAAAAAAAAAAAAAAAAGAAAAGAAAAGAAAAGAAAGAAAAAAAAAAAAACAGATCAAAAGAACAATTGATCTCTCAGTCGTAAAATTTTAAAGAGACATGGCAGCTCAGAGATGGAACTTAAGCCTGACAAAGATCTGAAAGAAAATAAGATGATTTTTTTTTAATCAAACTGCAAATATCCTGGTTCCATTAACTACAGAGCATATTATTTTTGGCACATAAAACCACAGGAATCTAATGGGACCCTGACAGTAAGCCAGATGTGACTGCAACGAGGTGCTGACACAATTGATGCATTTTATTATCTGCTTTCATCAAATGCTCACTGCTCCTTTCTTACGCCATGCAATTCAGCTTGCTCCTGAAACACCACTGCTTGATAAGATGAGAAAAGTCTCAATCAAAAACAGGCTAAGATTTTCTTCAGTACATGAAATACAAGGGCCTAGGATGAAATTACTTTTCATTTCCACATTTGCAAATATTCTAGAAAAGACATTCCTTAAGAATTCACAACAACTGCATTATTTCACATGGAGAAAAAAGTTTAAGATGGTGACAATCCACTAAATCAAAGTTAAGGTCACTCAGAACAACAAAATGTATATTACCAATATTAAGAAGGGCATGTACAAAAATCACATGGGTTCTCATTACTTCTATAGGAGTTGGAGAATATGCAACACACAAAATAAAACAAATATTTGACCAATAAGAACAAACTGTCATTATTAGTTCTAACAGGATAAAGCTTATAAGTCTAGTTAGTTTAAAATATTGGCTGCTAAAGAACTTTTTTTTTAAATCCTCATGTACTTTTCTTTGTACTATAGTTCTTAATTTTAACCAATCAGTAAATTGCCCCCAGGTGATTATTTTTTAATTAAAATACTTTTTCCATTAACATCTAGAACAATGTAATCTATTAAAAAAGATACATCTTAACTTGTTATACAATATCTAAACTGAGATGCTTAAGGTTAAAATTATTGATGAGATTTAAATCCACATATTTTCTGAAAAAAAATATCAATTTTCAGTTTTACTTACTTTTAAAATGTAAATATTAACAAAAAGTATAGGCATTTGTCAAGAGGCACATTCTTCCAAGGAGCACTGAATTAGACTTTTTAACTTTCTTCAAATTAAGTGAATACATGAAGCTCCCTATAGTATAAAATTGGTAATAAAATATTTTCAAGGGCATCAAATCCATATTGACTTATTTAAAAATATATGCTTTCTATGCAGTGATATTATAGTATTAAACCCACTTCAGAAACTTTATCTTTCTGCTTAGCAAGTTCAAACTACTGTTGATCATTTTCCTGTTTTTCCTGTTGCCTCCATCAACATAACTCAAATGAAGGTCATTATCCATGCCTCTGGGCACAATTTCTTTTCTAAAAACTTGAGGCAAATTCAAAATTACTCAAATTTTAGAAAAGCATACTCTAAAATTTAGGGTAGCATTCCATAATCAAACCTATTATATTTTCAATTGAACAAATAAATATGCACATTAAATACAGGTCAAAATCTGTCACAAACAATTGAGTTTTTCACAGCTTTTCAGAGTACAGATTTATAGATGGTGAATCAATGTACTACTTTTTTTTTTTTTTTTTTTGGTACCATGATCTTCTAATCTGAGTTCAGATTTATGCCATGCTAATTAATTCTACATATAGTCAGGTTGATCTTTGCAAATATAACTGGATGACTAAAAGTAATGTGACACCCTGTAACAGAAAAAGGACTTTAAATAAAAGCAATGGAAATGCTAATAAAATATGGAGTTTACTTAAAATATGTATCAATATTGGTTCCATCACTGTTAACAGGATACCACAATAAGGCATATGATATTAACAACAGAGGAAACTGGGTGTGGCTATATGAGAATGTGATATACATGAATTCTATGAACTGTCTTTGCAATTTTTCTATAAATTTAAAACTATTTTTTAAAAGTTTTTAATATACACACATGCACACACATAAATTATAAGAAAAGATTCTTCTATTTAAAACTCTGAAATTACTACCTATTACCTATTGGATTAAATTTAGATTTCAAGGATTTCTATTGGTGGGATTCTCTCTAAATTTTTCCCATCATCAGTTCGGATCTTTTGTTTACGTTCTGTCTCCAATTGGTATGTATAGTTTTCTCCTCTCCCCAACCTGCTCACTCTCTTAAAGATAGAAGGAAATCAAAATTCCCTAAGAACAGCTTTTAGTCCTAAATGATTCTTTTCCTACTTTGAGATAGTTTTTACATTTATGTTTATAACATATATCCATATTTACATGATATCTAGCTTGTTGCTCCATTTACATCAAGTACATCTTGTTCAATAATTCAGAACAAGAACTTAAAGGGAAGAAAGGCTTTTTATTTTCAGATGCTGATGGTCATTCCAACTAATCTTCAAGGACATCTCTTTTTTTGGTTTCATTTTTATTACTAGTATTCATATAAGAATATACTGCATGACTGTTTGCTGAATAAATGTATGTACACTAATACAAATCCCTTTTCCTGATCTGTTCACTTACCATTTTTCTATGACTGAAACCTGGGCATTATCTGAGAGCATTACCCTTCCAAACACAGTCTACCTCCCATTGATTCTACCTTTTAAGATTGTTCTCTAATACTCTCAAATATTCCTCTACTCCTACAGCCATAATTCATTTTCTACTGGACAGACTGGAGGTTCAGTCAAAGGTAAACAAAACAGTGCTGCCAAAATTATGTTATCTTGATAAAATGTAAACCTAATCGAGTTTCTCCACTGCTAAAAACTCTTCACTGACTTCTCATTACCTACATGATGAAATCTAAACTATTTACCATAGCACAGGGGCCTTCAAGAAATGTTACGGCTGTAGCCATATTTATATTTTAATAATAATGAACTACAAACATTTCTCCAAATGTACCATACTAGTGTCAGAATTCATGCATTTGAATAAGCTGTTCATTATAATCAGGGATGTTATTTCCTTCTCTCCTTTTCACTTTGCACATTTGTGAACAACTTTTAGTTCTTGCTTTTAGTGCAGCTTCTTTAGGAAGTTTTGCCTCACAGCACATTCCATTTCAGCATTTGGCTAATTCAGCCAGGAGGCTGTTGAGGAGAGTCTGAATTATTATTCAGGTACCAGTGAATATTACCTAGTAGTTTATGAAATGTTTGTTAAGTTTGAGACCCACACAGACAAAACACACAGAGTAATGCTGTTCTTATTTACAAGTCAGCTCCAAGAAAACATATAGACAGCTTTTTTATAATAGGAAAACTTTGGATGTAGTCTCAAAAAACATCTACATGTGTTAGGAAAATATGTTAAGTGAAAACTGTAGCTAATTCTTAAATGGCAAGAGAAAAATCATTTTACAGAAAAGTTTAAAATCAGAGCAAGCACATATTTTTTATTTTGTTCAGGAATGAAAATATTCTATTTGAAGACTTGAACCTGGGTTGTTAACTTCTGGGTAACCTGATCATACCTAGTGAGTACTCAAATATTTTTTTTTACAATGAAGGAAAATAAATGATAGGATTTTCATCTCAATTCTGTTCCCAGGCAGATGTCCTACGAAACAGATCAATAAAAGGCAGACATTAAAAAAAAAAAAAGGGAGGGGTTTGCACAATCTAAGTGTGAATAACCCAGAATCAAGAATGTTATCTCCACCACCACACTCTCCCCCCAGCAACTGAGCAATAATATAATTACTTTTATGACAGACTGAGTGGTCCTCAGTCACAATGGCCCAATAGTAAGGTACAAATGATTCCCATTTCTATATAAAAAAATCACAACTTTCTTGAAAGAAAAGATTTCATAAACTTTTCAAAGCCTTCCTGAAATATTTTTCTCACTTTAAGTAAATTTTACTTCTTCAGAATAATAACATAAATAGAAACTATGTCTAATTAAAGAACCATTCCATAAACTCTTGCCAGGTTGTAGTCAGGTCTGTAATCATATTTACAAATACAACAAGAATAAAAATGATTTCCATATCCTATAAAAATGACCTGATGCTACAAATTAAAAATCAAATACTTTTTCCCAGCCCATATGTAAGGAATGTTTTTTTTCTGACTCATAGGCATTTGGTTTTAAGGACATACACCTAAAAGGATGAACAGTGTCAACATCTCATTTCTTGCAAGTAGTATCAGTTCTGTGTGAAATCAAAATTATCACTTACCTTTTGATGCTGTAAAAATAGGATTTAACAATTATCATAGTGGTACACCTGCTTCCTAGAATGGATGTATTAGACTAACTGCCAAAGGATTGTTGCTTCTTCCACTTTTCTAATGACAAAATCACATAGACCATAAATTAGGTTTTATAATTATCAATAATCAGAATACCTACCAAGCTAATACTTTAAATATCAAACCATTTGTATGTCATAGTGGTATAAACTTTTGATTCTCAGGAATCAGAATGAATCATGTACTTTAAAAAGCACCAAAGGCTAAAACTCTATAGTTAACCAAATAAATAATTACATATCCAATTCTAAGAGTTACAAATGTGCTGATTCAAAAGTACATTCTTTCCCACTGAAAATCCATTTCCTTTTCTCTTTGTAGCTGAAAATTAAGTCATTATAACACAATCAGAAGTCTTCGTGTAAATCAAATAAGCAATTTTGCCTGGTGCAAAACATCATAAATTATTAGGAAATATAATCATAGTTAAATAGTAATATCACTATCATCATTACAATTTATAATTATTTTAAAATAGAATTAATTAAAATATAAAACACATTCAACCACAAATTGTAGACAAATATTTTTATATTTAGAAAACATAAAAGTCACCTTTCACTCATGAGCTCGTCTGAGACTTTTTGCTCTTCATATTCCATTTTGTCCTTATTGGTCTGGCTTATTTCCTCACTTTCTAAAACTACTCCTTCATCTGGGATTTTTGGTCCTTGTCTAATTATTTTCAACTTCCTTTTTTTAACTTTATTCTTGGTAAATTCTTGATACTGGTAAGCTCTATCATTGTCCATGTCCTGGTCTCTACAACCTTCAGGCATCTGGGTCATGGTCCGTTTGTTAGAGATGTCCTGTGGGAGATCGACAGCCATTCGTTTCACCTTTCTCCTCCTGCGGAGAGTTCTGTTTCCCAGGTTGTCCACAGCAAAATCAGACTCATGCCATAGAGGTCTTTTCCCTCGAACATTGTTATTTAAGTTTGATGATGGCCTGCGCTTGGCCACTAACATTTGGTCATCAGAGTCACTATGATCTTTTTTATTATTATTGTGATTTTCTCTATAGTCCTTGCTTGGTTCTTCTAAACTAGAATCAGAGCCTTCACTTAAGCAGTGACCAGTCTCCCACGGGTGGTGAACATTGTAAGACCTCCGCTTCCTCCCTCTCCTTTTCCTGGCTTGGCGTTTCAGAGGGCAAGAAATACTTCGAGAATGGTCTCCTGTTTCTGCAAAACCACCTCGTGCTTGCTCTGAGCTCTCTTCCAGGGCTGAGACAAGGTCGTGAACCAGCTCCTCCATGGTTCTACTGAAATGCCTACATTTTTTTAGAGAATGAAAAAGGAAAAAAAAAAAATAGTCACTCTAAGCCATGCTAATTGAGTCTTCTACAGCAGATGATTCACTCTATACTGGACTAAAATTTGGTCATTACAAAATGTTTGAAGCTATTTTCTTAGTCAATGTACTACCATTTCAAATATTCTGATTTCTTTTAAAACATCCTCATGCATAAGTTCTTTTATTAAATAGAAATTATTTCAAAATAGAGTAAATATAGTGTCAGCATCAGAACAAACCATATATTTTTACTATGTAACTATGGAAAAGCTCTTTCTGCTTAAATCACTTTTCCTTGACTATCTCTGTCCTTTTTCTTGAACTGATTCTCCTCAGAGCAGAGAAAACTTTCCCAGTCCCCTCCCTGCCCACTAATTTCTAAATGAAGACAGAAGCATAAAATCCTCTACTTACCACATGTTGTACCTAATCACTGCTACAATACAAGAGACAAGCAGAAAGACCAGTATTGTCAAGATTTAAAATATATGGAAAAAAAAAGTTTAACTGAACACTAAGCATATATTTAGGCCACACTAAGCATATAATCCAGTGAAGCAGAAACTATTTACATCAAAACTGGAGCTTCACTGGTCTAAAAGGGCCCATCATTAATTTATTCTGAAGTAGTCTCTGAGGCTTTTTTAGTCAGCAAGGATAATATCAGTCTTCTTTGGGAACTTTAATAAATTATATAGTTCTTTACAAACTCAATACCCCCCAATTTTAAATTAGTTGGTGTGATTCAGAGCCTAGGTATCTGATTTTATTTTTAAACATTACAGATAGTTTGGATATGCACACCTTTCATACAAAGACCATGGGCAATCATGTCTCAAATTGAGGTCAGAAGGCACATAGGGATAAAAATATTCTCAACTGGCCTCTAGAGGCCTACGTAGTTCCAGGAGTCTATTAGCAAGGGTATGCAAAGGGCCAGATAATAAATATTTTAGGCTGTTTAGGCCATTAGGTCTCTAACAACTACTCAATTTGTCATTATAATGCAAAAATAGCCACAAGCAATACATAAATGTATGAGTATGATTGTGTTCTAGTAAAGTTTTATTTATAAAATCAAATAGTGCCTGGCCCATTTGATGACCCTTGGTCTAAATAGACTTTATAGAGTCTTTGTCATTTATTATTTATAATTTTAGATTTTAGCAAATTCCCTGTAATAACCTATAACTATTCCTTTACATTTAATGATAACCTAAGGGGGGAAAAAATACACATACATCATGATTCAACTGGATTTACCATTTATAATATTATACACACATATAGTTTTAACACTTGAGTGTTTACTATTTGCCAGGCTTATTTCTGAGTGTTTTCTATATTTTACCTCATATTCACATGATAATCCTATAAGGTGGCATATGGGAAAAAAAAAAAAACAGATTTCCTTCACAATATGACATTTAAGTGATAGAGACAGGATTCAAACTCAATCTCATTCCAGAGCTCTAATGCTTACTCAACTACAGAAAACACCTACCTAATTCCCGTATCCAGTCTATATTTTTTATGATTAATTTAGCATCAAGCAGTATTACTTTCATTTTAATATATATGTCATCTATATGTAAAAACCATTATGTTATTTTGAATAGGAGAAAGGAGTGGGAGGCTAAATCAACACAAGATACAAGATAGTATAGCCGGTGAAAACAGAATAAGCAGAATGAGCTAAAAAAAACCAACCCTGTATTGGTTATTTGAGTGTATATTGTCAACAATTATATAACACATCATTATCTTTAGTTCATATTTTCCAGATTTATCTCCTTTGGCAATCTGAATGTAGAAAATAAAAACACACATGTCTGGACACATGTTTTTCAAAAACATAGTGGTTCAAATATATATTTTAAATGAGGCAACTGAGGTTTTTTTAATAAGCGTTCTATATATAACTGTTCTCAGAATATAGCATTAAATTAATAGAAATATATATCACAGGAATTGGCATGAAGCCAAAATAGAGGCTACAATTCTGAATGCATTGATAACCTTAATATTTTTACCATTATCTATAAGCTAATAATTGCCTTTCTGTTTTCTCTTAATGCAATGAATGTCTTGTTCTTTTCCTTTAACACCATATTTTTAAAGAAATGTGTCTGAAAGACCTATTATCTCCAAATATTATATTGTTCCTTTAAGAAAACTTATTTGATGCCAGTCTAAGATGTATTACAATAAGGATCCTTTCTCTAAATGACTATTCACCTGAATCTGGAGTAACTTTCTTTGTGAAGATAGGATGTTCTTATCAATGGATGAATAAATAGCTTAAAATATTAAAACATGAAATTAACTCAATGGATGAATATAACCTCCAAATAAAATTTGGTACTATACTTCAGAAGAAAAAAAAATCATTGAAGATGTAGCTCAGTTCAGAGTGCTTGCCTACCAAGCAAAAACCTAGGTTCAATCCCTAGCACCATAAAAACGAAACAAAACAAAAAACAGAAAAGTAAGTAGTCTTAACACTGGAAAATTGACCCTTTGAAATCTGACACTCTAATTCTTGTTGAAAAAGTATTACTTGTTGAAAAATTACTACTTATTGAAAAAGTACTACTATACCTAATAAAATATAACCAATATTACCAAAATGAAAGTAAATGTTCTTAATCTCATTAAAATTGTGTCAGCCTTATTCAATTTTGTTTCTCAAAATGAAATAAAATATATTAAAAAATTTTTAACTAGAAGAATCGAAATTATTCCATATATCATTCAAATACAAATCAACTGAAAATTACTTTTAAGTTTCTTCGAAAATTCTATGAAAACACAGGAAAAAATACATTTATTTTAAGTGTAATTCAGAGTTCAAAGCACTTTTTTCTTTATAGTCTAATGTACCTAGACTCTTCTACAAGTTAATCCCAATCAAAATCCCTATTAATGAGCCAATAATATTAGACACTTAATGTTAAGCTTAAGCTGCTTCACTAACATTTCACAGATAAAATGGACATCAACTGGTCAATAGAAATAAAAGCAAAATAAGATAATCAAGTGAAAAATAGTTGTTTTATTTATTTGCTTTGGCAATTGTACTGACACATCAGAAGATTACTGTACTCAAATACTTTATCCTCATCATATTTAGCTTAGGGGTTTCCTTCAAATTTTTCTGGCTTAAGAAAGAAAAATCAGGAAGCTATTTAGTTTTAATATACTGCTTATAACTCTCCAAAAGATTAGAAGTTGATAGATGGCCCAATAGCTCTAAAATTGCTGTTAAAATATATATAGGTGGGGACAGCAGGAGAAAAGAACACCCAGAAAACGGAAACTCCCAATAACTAAAGTTAACTATTTTATTACTAATTATTGTTTGTGAAGCCCCACTCCTTCCTAAGAAAAAAAATACAGTATGTATAGAAAAATTAATCATTATTGCCTTGCCTAGATGCTGATACAAGCAACTATATAATAAAAGGATATATATGTGTTTCTGCTAAATAAACCCAACCATAAAAACAACAACAACAAAAAAACTTCGAGATATAACTAAAAAGTAACCATTAGAACTATTAAATACCTAGTTAAGTAAAAAAAATCAAATACTCATCACTTAGTACATGGTAAAAATCTTTGCCTCTCTAAAACACGTATTATTTCTTTTACAAAGTTAAGTAATTTTATTAGTGGAGAGCTAAATATAAGTTAAGTGCTAAGCACTTCTTCTACAAAACTGAGTTGTTTTATTTGTGGAGAACTAAATATAAGTTAAGTGCTAAGCACTTCAATTGGCTATCAATAATTTAAGTGAAGAAATAACCATTTTTGTATCTCTATGATATATAAACTCTGTGTGTTCAAAAGTAACCCTGTATACAGTCAACAACTATGCAGATGAATGTTATCTGTGAGTACTCACAAATTTAAAACAGTCATAGAATTACATACTTCAATATCATCTTAGGTTTTATTAAGATAAGAGAGGTTGGATAGAAAAGGATTAGTTGGTCCTAAAAGTCCACAGCAAAGAGCCAAACAGAACAGACGAAAATCAACACACAATAGTGTGGATCACGACAATGAGTGACACAGTAAATATGAAGGAGGCTATACGAACGGCCAAATTTTATGTCTAACACAGCTTGATCCTTAAGAATTATCTTAAGTTTAAGATTTCTGCTGCTCATTATAATTTCCTTCCTTAATGGTACTATCATTTATCAAAATAAGTCTTTATCTCAAGTTAGTAATTTATTAAGGACTATGTCTTCAATTTTCTCCTTTCATACGTTGGGGACATTATTATTTGAGGAAATCAAGAATAAACCTAACATTAAATGTTAATACTTAAGTTAGTATAGAAGTTCCTTGAACTATCCATGCAAAGTATGAATCACAAGCAACCTTTTTCTCTCTTTTAGAAGGAAGTGCATTGGGATGGGGAAAAAAACTATCTTTTTCTGAAACATATAAATGATTAGTTTCAAGGTTAACACTAGGCAATATATATGAAAAGAATTCTCTACAGAAAAAAGGGCTGAGAAGTAACAACAGAACAAGAGTTTCAGAATCCAAACTATGAATTTGGAAATTAAATTCTGTTATATTCATTAGCAACAACACCTTGAACAATTACCTTCTGCTTTCTATATTTTCATCATGAAAACCAGCACAATTTCTACCCTGAAGGCACTCTGTGAGGATGAGAGGAAGTACTTTATGTTGAAAGAAGTTATTTTACCTTTCAACAAACTCCACCCTCAAATAAGAGAAACAGGTCACTGAAAAAGCAAGTCATTCTGCTTTTAAGGTACAATCTTACCATGAATCCTGAGGCTAACATAGGAAAAGCTAAGGTCCTCGACGTTTCTGAGGCCATGAAGCATTACAAATGTTGGGGCACTATAGGACAACAGGTATACAAAATTGTGGTATAGTCTTAGAAAGTTTGTGGACTCTTTTAAGGACTCTATCATGTTAAAAAGAGGCCCTAAATTCCTTACTTAAAAAAAAAAAAAATGGAGTATATCTGACCTGATATACAGATATAAATGAAAAAGAAAGGATTAAAGAAAATAATGCTCCGTGGTTAAGAGTCACAAGGTTCACCACCAAACTGAAAAACTCATTTCCCATAATGGGGGCAAAGCTCCATTGACTTATATTCAATTATAGGTACTGCTGGCAGCTGCTACCAAGGGGAACATGGTGAACATCTAGAAAGTTTTCTTTTCCTCTTACTCTAGCAACTTATTGTAAACAAAAATCATGATTAGTTTTTAAAGAAAAAAGTCTAATTCTACTTTTCAAATTAGTGATTTAATATGGCAAGACCATTTATTATTTAAATGAGCATTCTTTTGGGTTTTTTGTTGTTGTTATTGTTTGTTTCTTCATTTTTAGCTAGACAGAAACAAGGATGCTAGGAAGCTATAAAAAATAAATTGCTTGCCCCAAATCATACCAGCTATTGCTTTGATCCTTAACTGAAAGAGAATCCTAAGTTAAGTAAACCTGAGAGTAAAAAAAAAAACAAAAAACAAAAAACAAACAAATCAAAGAAACAGCTAACCAAAATGCAATTTTTACTATGTACTTTTCCAGACCTAAAGAAAATCAAAATACCAAATAGGAACAAAATTACAGAAACAAAGGTCCAGAATCCATACAGTTTATTTTAAGGGCTTAAAATTAGAAAGCAAAAAAAGGAAACCCATATAACAAATTTAAATAAAGAGAATATCATAGTTCAATAAAGAAATCATCTACTTTAAGCACTAAATGCCTAAAAATTAAGAAACTAATCTCCACATTGAAGAAAATGTTAGAAAGAAAGAAAGAAAGAAAGAAAGAAAGAAAGAAAGAAAGAAAGAAAGAAAGAAAGAAAGAAAGAAAGAAAGAAAGAAAGAAAGAGAAAAGTTAAGAGAAGTTAACTACCTCAGGTACCTCAGTTACTCCTCAGGGACTCCAGGTTGCTTAACAAATCTGAGAGATACTATATGTTATTCAGATACTCAGGCAGTATACACCTGGGTGGTTAGGTATTTTCTTTAGCTACACATGAATCATACTACAAATGAGACACTTAGGGTAAATTATTTAAACTGTTTTCCCTCCTGTGTCACCTTATCTAAAATGCAAAGAATGATGTACCCTACCTCAAAAGAGTTACAAGAGATGATAGTAGCAACCTCAGCAGCACTATGATTTCATTACTGGGATAAAACAAACATGTATGGTATATAACGATTGTTCAATTAATTAAAGAATCCATTAAGAAATACTGAATGATTGGACAGTTGTGCACATAAACTAGAGAATAAAAGTTCTAGTTTTCTGTAACACATTCATTCTGTCAAATCAGGTAGTTTCATTCAAAAACACTAGGCACTATGTTCTATTCTGGTTCCATAAGAAAGGATGAGTTGCATGCCAACAAGAAAAGTTGGATAGGTTCATCAAAAGAGAACTGAAGGAGGGCTGGAGTTGTGGCGCAGGGGTAGAGCACTTGCCTCTCAAGCATGAGGCACTGGGTTCTATCCTCAACACCACAAAAACAAACCAAAATAAAGTTATTGTGTCCATCTACAGCTAAAAATATTTTAAAAAGAGACAGAGAGAGAACTGAAGGACATTTCTCGATATTATACAGAGGTATCAACCCATGATTTGGACAGGAGTTGCAAAGTACAGCAAGGAGTTGAGAGGATCATATTTTTTAATTAAACAGTACTTACCCTACAAATCAATATCACCTTAGTAAAAGCAGATCAATCTATATAGCACATTTATCTCCCTCCTTAACAAAAATGAGTGGTGAAATATTAAGAAACACACAAGCAGAACAAACTATGGAGTGGTGGAAATGTCCTTTATCTTGTTTTGTAGAGCAGTTACACAACTATGTACTACTGCCAAAATAAAATTAAGTATTTTAAAACTACGCTTTTATTTTATGCTAATTACACTAATTTAAAAATAGCTCATTTTGAAAGTGACCCTTACTATTCTCAGGGTAAATTTGAGAATTTTAAAGTAGCTCATTCAAATCTATATTCATTATAAAATGAAATATAAAATGATCTGATCCAACTCAAAATACTTTTGGTAAGAAATTTTTTTTAACTTTTCAGTTGTAAGAAATTTTGAGATCATAGACTTGCAAGAATCCCTCATGGACTCAGAATTCCTCAGAGTCTTTGTATCCTCTGTGGCATTTATGAATCGATATGTATTTTAATTTCACATTTCTTACACTGGTTTGGTAAAAACTTTTTATGTTTGAGGATTGTAAGAAGTCTGCTTGTCTGTTTCACTGATTTTTGTGTATACTTGCAGGAAAAAAAGTATTTGGAAGAAAAACAGGACTGAATCATAGTTTTCAACAAGAAATTCTAAAGACATGTCTTTCTAGCTCTAAAATGTGCAGGGCAACTTTGGACAAGTCACTTAAGTAAATGTTCTGTGCCTGTGATACTCTGGTATCACAGGTATACTCTGGCTGTTATAGAATAAAGTGTAATTTGTGAAAGCACTTTGAAAATTTAAAGCAATATTTTCTCTGAAAGTGCCACTGGTGAAATAATACTATAGACCTACCAAACCCCAGCCTTAACCCTGGAATTTATTGGTGTTCCCAAACAACACGCATACACATCTCCTTTGAACTAGAATGGTATATTCAAAGTAGTGGAAAATGGGTAGGCTACTCCCCTCATAAAGAGTGGGAGTGGGGGATTAAAGTGATATCTCCTTCACTACTAAACTTCCAGAACTCTATAGATTTCTGGCATTTGGTCTTACAAGAAACTTGTTATGATCTGGCAATTTTAGCAGGGGAATTGTGAATAAAGCATTCCTGTCCATAGGTCTTACCAGTAATCAAGGAGAGATCAATTACGGAAAGATTGACCAACTCGGTCCCAAATACCCTAAGTGTTAGACAAGCCATCAGCAAGCATTTACCATGTTCCTGCACAAATCTTTAGCACACATCAAAATGCCTCCCTCAAACTGCGTCCATCACAAGCATGAGTGACAGCAAGGCCTAGAAGTCTTCAGATCATCCATCACAACTCCCTCCCCCTTGGATTCCAGGTCCGGCGGCCTCTGGCCAACACATTTCCTGATCTCCCATTCCCGGGGCCGCCAGCCTCACCAGCTGTTCCCGGCGGCTGGAGCTCCGATCGGTTGGCGCCCGGCGGCCCCGAACATTAACGACACCCAGGAGCCTGGCCTCGTGGCTCAGGCCCGAGAACAGACTCCAACTACAACAGCCCCGAAGACTTCCAAAGAGCAGTTCAGCATTTTGAGAAGAGCTTCCGGAAGCTGGCTGGAGGCGGAAACCGGATGTTCGGAGCAACCATAATTCTCCTCCCCACTGCTTTCCTTTCCTACAGTCGCCTCTTTTTATTCCTAAACGAGATAGAGCCAATTAAATTAAGCTTTGTTGCTACACCCCAAATTGAAAATTCTCTATAAGCATTGCCCTTAAATCCGAAACAGGGTGACATAAAAGAGGAGAGAGCGAAAGTGGAACCCCCGGGACTGGCCTGTAGTATCGCCCGGTTGCCCGGGAAACCGACAGTAACGCCAGTTGCAAACCCCTGGCCCAGGGGCCATGGCCACGTTAGCCCGGCTGCAGGCTCGGTCGTGGTTTGTAGGAAATCAGTACTACTTTAGGAACCGGTAAGTCGTGAAGAAAGGAATCGCACAAAGGGCTGGCTGTCTTTAGCCCACTAGTTTTTCAGTGGAACTTTACCATTGACAAATTCCCTCATTCAGTACTCAGTTCCCTCTTTCAATGGGTGCAAACAGAACCAGAAGTTTAACGTAATATTAACTATACAAGGAGATTATAAATAGAGGGAGGCCATGGATATTCAGGTTGATATAAGGAAAGTTCCAGCGTAGATAAAATTGTAAAGCGCCCCCCACCCCCACCACCAGACATCATCACAACGCAGTTTGAAGAAATCTGCCTTCTCCCTGTTGAAGGTTTTAATGGCCTTGATGCAGTCACCCAGGCTCCCTAGCTCACTGATCTCAATGAGTCCCCACTCTGTCTAGGGATCTGAGCCTCTGTCATGTCACAAACATCATGGAACTCAATTGTTCTAGGACTCATTTCCTTCTGAAAATCAAAGTATCCGAACTATTCTTGCAAGATAATTAGTGCCAACGAATTAATTAATAGAAGAGGGCTAAGAAAGACACTAGCACTTTTTCCATCTCCTTACAGCCAGACTTCACAACCAGAAACAGGTTTATTTTAACAGTGGCCCAGAAGCATTGCCCCAGGAGTTTTTCCAACTTAAGAGAAACTACAAAAAAAAAAAAAAAAAGTAAATTGGACTGTGATAGAATGCAGTGACATGGCAGACCAGTGGAAATATGTCAATAAGTTAGAAACTTGCTGAGCTGTTCTGATTTTAATTTTTATCTGCCACACTATTTTACTGTGTACCTCTTACAACAATTCAATTTTATGTTTTTGTGAAATAACATGTATCTATACTCTTAAAGTAGAAGCAGAAATAATTGACTCTTTTTTACTTACCATTTTTTGAGTCTACCTTGTCTTCATAGTTCCTAATACTTAATAGCTACACAATACTTATTTGTTGAATAATTATATCAATGAATCTTTCAATTGCTTTTTGTTTAAGTAAATATTCTCAATAGCTAATTAGAAATAATCTATTTAGCTTTCATAAATTATCTCTTTATATAGCATCCATCTAGAATTTATGTGGCAGGCCCTTATTTATGACATAAATACATAAATAAATTCTGTCCCTATGATGATCACATCCTAGCATGAAATTGGGACATTTAAAAAAAAAATAATTGTTCTATAGTAAGGCAAATAGAAAAGGAAACAACTAACATTGTTTGAGCACTGATTATACATGAGACATTGCACTAATAACTTTCTCATCTATTTCTTTTGGTTTTCACAATGATATGAGTGAATGTATTAATCTGAGTATTTAGATCTGTAGAACAGTATTCGAGGGAAGCCTGATTAAGTGCCAGACAAGAGCAAAGGAACTAATTACTCTTCACAGATTTCAGTGTCCACATTTGCCCCTATCTCCTGGCTTTTGAAAATGGGCATCTCTTCCTAAACTTTGAGATTGCTTGGAGAGATGACTAATGCTATGCAAAAATCATGATGAAAATAAACTGGCATTCCTAACATTTCATTTATAATTAGTAGTAATAATACTTTTAGTTTAAAAGAATTGTAAAGCTGATAAGGGAAACAAAATTCCAAATTTTGTCTAGTTTTTTTAAAAATCAGTATTGATAGTTTAGGGCAAAAAATAATAAAATATTAGTATGACTGAGAAAGAAAATAGTAAATTTCCTTCATAAAGTAATGTCATTTTCCATCTGTTATTGACTTGAAGAGTTCTTCCTAAATTTTAACCTTGGGAACTTGTTGAAAATGAAAATTCTGATTCAGTGTGTCTTGGTGGCAGAGAGTCTATACTTCTTACAAGAATTCATATGAGGCCCTACTCTGCATAAAAAGAGAGACTGTAATAAATAGTGTATGGGCTTTTCTTACATTTAATTCTTCAACATCCTTATGAATTATATATATATTCCTTAATTATGTGAAACAATGAAAATGAGATTCAGTTAGATTGAATAATTTGTGCAAGGTCACACAACTACGAAGTATTAAAGCCAGGTAATTTCACTCTGAAACCTATTCTGTACAATATGACTCAAGATTTTCTTTCCACTAACCTGGTCTGACTGATTAAGTAGCATCGAGTACCACAATCCAGAGTCCAAAATGGTTTGAGTATATTGTTCCAAATCCATTAACATGTAGGAAACTGTTTAAGGAAACAGTTTAATTTCTTCTTTGTTTCTTTCAAAGTCTTCTATGTCTATCACAAGGTAGTGACAAAAAATGTTTTTACCTGATGATTGGCATTAGAATGAGACTGGCAGTAGAATGAAGTTGAAAGGGAACTTTCTTGGGAAAATATATTGCTAAGTGGTGAAACTGGTCACTTTCATATGTTAAGTTTTCTATTTTTAAATTCTACTTATTGTAGTATTAATATTGATCCTTCTTTATCTGATAAGACTTAATCATAGCATTCTGCATTTTTCTTATTACCAGAGGCAAATTTTGGAATTAAAAGAAATCAAAACTTAAAGAGCTTATGATGACTTTAGTTTATTTCAATTCATTCTTGTTATATAATCCTCTCACATGTCACTGTATTTTAAGCTAATTTTAAATTTCTGTTCATCTATCATGATTTCTTACGTATAAATTCTATTTTATTTTATATTTTACAATAAAGGAACTCATTTCTAATATTTCCTGGGTGAATTTAATACATTGTAATAATATTCTCCAAACTATATGAATTAAAAATGCACTGATTAAAGATTTCCTTAGTACAAACTATGTAGTCATCACTGTTCTAAATATTGAGTACAAAACAGAACAAAAAGTCATGAGGAAAACAAAACATCAACAAACTTATTTATAATATTTCAGCTTGAGATAATATTTCAGCTTGGGATAAATATAGCAAAAGCTATAGAGAAAAGTAAGGTGAAGAGAGGGAACAAAATTCTTTTTGTTTGGAGTGGTTTGGGAGGCTCTTCTAATAAGAGGATATTTGCTTGGAGTCCTTAAAAAAAAAAAAAAGGAATGATTGGGCATACTAGGGGAAGCACCTTTGTGAACTGCAACAGCAAGTAGAAAGGTCCTATTGTCAGAAGCCTATGATGGAGGGCAGTGGAGAGCAGAATGGGCAAGGCATAGAATGGAAGAATGTGGGCCAGATCATTTGGGACTCTTAAACTACAATAAAGATATAGGATTCTACTCTGATTGAGAGAGGAAGCCGTGGAGGATTTCAGCAGAGGACTGACTTCTGTTTTAAAATAATAATAAAGTAAACTCGTGATTTATTTTTAAATTGAGTAAAGTATTTTGCTTTTATTTTTCCTTTTTCTATTTTCCTCTTCCAGGTTCATCTTTATTAGTTTAACTCGTTGTGACCTGATTTTTTGCTTCTTAACAAAATTTGAGTCACATTTTCTTTAACAAACAAAAAAACACTTGAAATAATTTTAAGCCGGATAGACTTATGTAAAAAACATTTTTTAAATTGACTTAAGTGAAGGGAAAAGTATATGTAGGGCAATGTGAAAAAATCAGTTATTAAGGAAGAGTTCTAGAAATTCTGTAGAGACAACTATAGAGATAAGTGTCCAACTATCAAATTTCCAAGTCTCTTACCACCCAAAAGGTAAATGGAATAGAGATAATGTAGTAGGCAGATAAATAAATATTGAATACCTACTATGTAGAGCACTGTTAAACGTTTTCACAAACATTATTTTAGTTGATAGTTACAGTACTCTTATGAGATGATTTTTTTCTTATTCCTAGTTTGTACCTAAGGAAATTGGATTTAGTTAAATCATTTGCTCAAGCGCTAATGAAGTTTGACCCATTTCATACCAAATTTATATTTCTATAAGGAGTATTAAATCAATAAGTCCCTGCATGGAACTAAGTCCATCAAATACACAAGGTCCAACCTGCCTTTCTAGGGTCAGGTTGAGGAAAAGAAAATATGTGACATAGTGCTCTCTAGTAAAGATTGATGATTTCCTCATGTTTTATTCCCCTGTATCAACCTGAACTATAATTTCCTAAAACTGGAATGTATTATTCATATAAATATGATTAGTTCTTTTTTTTACTCCAACATGATCATGTGACTACAATTCTGATTATGTTATTAATCTAATAAGTTGGACCAGTGTCCTTCAATTTGGACAATTATCTTACTCTTATATCCTAGCAGTTAGTTGGATAAATGAAACCCTTCCTCTAATTCTAACTAATTTCTGAATACTCTGTTACAGCTGAATTTAATTATGACTAGTAAAATTTAGCAATTCTTCCAAATACATAAGATGATTTATGCCAAAATATGGGGACATCTTAGTTGTGTGTTAGCTTAGGTTTAAATATAAACTTTTAAACTTTTACTTTTACCTTGTTTAAACTCTTTAAATAGCAATTTTATCATGTAAAGGAGAAAATGATGGCTATTAATATGTTAACTATGAAGGTTAAATGATCATCATGTTAGTAAGCACCCCATAGATTTATAATTATAGTAAATCCCTGCAAGAAGCCAAAGTATAAAATGCATATGATGAACACAGTTGACTGTTACAAAAGTTGATAAGTTTGATGTCTGTTCTTGAGTATTCCTTTTCTTTATGGAAAACTTAAAACATTTTATTGGTGTAATTAGTCAAAATTTCCTTTGATGTAGTTATAATATGTATGAGTATGTATAAATATATTTAAGGAAGTACTTTCACTCTATGCAGCTCAATGGTTTTTACATAGGTGTATATAATACCTGTTTAATCTTCAATCAGATAAAATTCTGGATATAGAATGTATTTCTAAAACTAATAGCCAACATCAGATATATAGTATTGGTGAAATAAAATATGAATGGTTCTATTTAATTCAAAAGCAAGATAAAAGTTCACACTAATCCTGCTTATGTTTCATGCTCTAAAAGAGAGATCACAATTAATCAATGTTCACTGCTATCTCATTGAATGGAAAAGAAATTTTAAGTAATTATAACTGACTATCAGTCCTTCACTGCCTA